CAAATATGATCAGTCAAAAGGGTGTGTCCACCTATAGATGGCCAATAGACAAGGGTGAATTTCTACACTGGCTGCGGTAACCAACTCTCTCTACAATATTATACTTAAATATAAATATATATATATTATACATAAAATTACAATAGGGTTTTTAATAGGGTAGGATTTATCTTTAGCATAGATCAATGATCAACAACTTTAACAAATACATTTATCATTGTATAATAACTATTTTACATAACAAAACAATGGATACAAAACATACAACAAATCAGCAGCTGTGTGTGTGTGTGTGTGTGTGTGTGTGTGTGTGTGTGTGTGAGTGTGTGTGAGAGAGACAAAGGAGAGGAGGTGGATGTGACCATGTGGGTGGTTCCCGGATCCAGTTCAGAATTGGCTTTATCCTGGCAGATTTTGGAATCAAAAAGGCAGTTCTCCCAGGGCTGGACGCACCTTTGGGGCCAGTGTAACGTAAATTATTTATTTATATAACTGTTTTAAAAAAAACAGGTCAACCATCGGCCCACTGAGTAAATTTCTCACAGTCAAAATTTTACTAGCCCGCACCCCTCTGCTCTCTGTGTCTTGCGTTGCGAGCCAAAAAACCCCCATTCTTCAGACCGCCATATGCGCGAAAATAACCAAATATAATAATATAGAAGAAACTACTGCATTTTCCAAAAAAAGTAACTTAAGCAAATATAATAATACGCTACTGATTACTGAAAATAAAGATAAAGACATTTCCACCATAAATTGGTGTAGAAAATGTTTCCAGAATGCAGGAAATTAAGTGTTTGATGCTAAAAATCTTCAAATATTTTTTCTAAATAGTAGTATATATTCTTGCCTTTTAGTTATGAACACCAATCTTGTGCAAATCTTACGTCTCAGTGTTTTATCACACCCCTAATCTGACCCCCTTGATGGATCGCTGGTGTATTGGTGAGGGGTGTCTGACTGATTTTGGTGGTCCGACTTGGCCAAAAATGCCAGGGCTGTGGCTCACAGGTCAGGCTAGTTGCAGATGTCACATGGTGTGTGTGTGGGGTTAGTAAATAGGAAGGAGGAGAAGAAAGGCACAAAGCAAGCCTAAGAGGTCACCATCTTGTATCCATTACTGTATGAGTGATTGGGGGTTTAGGTTTTGTCGAGTCAGCTAACGCAAATAAAAGCCTGGCTATGTTGTACTATACCCCTTTGTAGCTTTGTAGTACATCCCTTGGGTGCCATTTCTCTGGTTTATTTATGCCCCTTGAACATTTATCACAAACAGACTTTGCATTTGGTTACATGTTGGTTGAACATGGTGCTGTGTGCAGTGTTGTTTAAGTTGTGGTTCAAGTTTATGGCTGTGAGATGTTACCTGTACGCTGTACGTCTACAACCTAATCCATCCATTGTGTGTGTGTGGGGGGGCTGCGGATGTTTGCAGCATTTACATGGTCTGAAATGCAGAGTACATCACCTGTGTCATTGTTAGTCATGTTTTGCCTTTATTTGCAAGAGAAGGTTAGACAAAAATTGAAAAAACAAAGATTTGACAGTTTGACACAAATTAAATTTGAAAATCACCGCTACACAATCTGCAGTCCAAATGGAAACTGCCCCAATACCAAAATTCCCCAATCACAAATTGAGTACACAGCAGCTTTTTGTTATTAATGTTTACATCAAAATCTTTGTGCTAACAGCCCTTGATTTTTAAATATGATCTGTTGAAAACCAAACACAATGATGATTTTTTTTTCTTCGAAAAATAACTGCATGAACTCCTCAGCCATTTTCTTATTACATTGCTAGGGTGTCTTAAAGCCCTTTATACATGCTTTGCTATGGTATACACCTGCTCTGTAAATCACTGGGTTCTCCTTTGAGAAAACAATCAGAAACCAAAAGAGAGAAATGTATATTTCTTGATTTTGGTTTCATAATGGCACCCCCTAATTTTGATACAGCCAATCAAAAATGAGCCAGACACCAATCTGCTACACAATACATCAGCCACAGACTGAACAACAAACCACATCTGTTTCCTCTTATCTAACTAGCAAACACAAACACACGTCTTGTCCTGCAACTTAGCTTGTGCAAGTGAACAAACTAACATTCACCGGGAAACAGCTAATGTCAGTTTGCAAGCTATAGCTAATTAGCTGCTCAGTCATATGTACCTGTAAATGTCATTTCGGTCCAGCTCTTCAATACCACTAACAAACATGTCTGCCTATACATGAAAGTACAGCACCATTTTACGACTTTGTCTCTTGTATCCTCTGGTGTAACAGCCAGACTCTAGTGGCCTGCCAGCTGCTGTCAATCAAAAAATTATTAACAATCCATCCAAAAAACACACTGACATTAGTCTTGACTACAAAAAGGGATAACTAATTGTGATTTCATTTGGATTTTATAGTAAAGCAAGCAGCATTTTTGAATAGTGTTGCCCCAAAATGCATTTCTCATTATGGACCCGGTTTGTATTCAGTACACTTCCCTCCAGTCAGATAAGGGTCGCAGGTCAGAGTGTACTTGACTTCAAAGCCACCTGTATCGGCAGCACAGGTGATTGTGTGTGTCCCTGCCACACCCTTATTCTACATGATCCCAGAAGATCATCATATTGCCAGTCTGGTCCCAGACCTCAATATCCAAAAACCAGTATGTGGTCACCTGAATAAAAAAAAATAGAGTAAATATATACATAAATATATAATTGAAACAGAAAAAAAACAACTATTAAATGTTGAGAAATACAAATGATGGGGTAAGGTTGGTGAATCATCCCAAATAACAAGAACAACTCATGAAATGTTACAGATACAGACATGATCTTCTACTGTTTTCGGATCCACTAATATATTGTTTTTGAAAATGTTTGTAAGTAGGAACAAAATGTATTGGTGTCATCTAAAGCTGTACAAGTAAATTAATTAATATCCGATTATCATACTATATTTACTCCCCCCAGTCATTAAAACTCACATTCCTCCAAGCTCAGCCGAGGAGGTGGAATCACAGCTATCTTAGACTCAAGCCTATTAATTCATTCATTCATTCTAAACCTAAATTATTCAAAAGCCTTGTTTTAGTTTTTCACACAAAACCTGGAAACACCACAGTCAATTCCATTTATTATAGTGTAACCACGCTCCTGGTCCATATTCTGAATTTTTATCTGAATTTTCAGATATTATCAATGTATCAGATGAGACTGGCTTGTGTTCAAAAATCAAGTCACCGTTTTAACTCGCCCTTGTCCTGGCACGTGGCATCCACAGAATCCCTTTTTAATCAGACCATTATCTAATTACTGTCACGGATTTGTGTGGTGAAGCAGGTTGGAGGACCCAAACGCAGGACGCAAGGCAAAGGAGGTACAGTTCAAGGGGTTTTAATAACAAACAAAGGCGAGCACACTTACAAACTGAGTGGCTGATGACAGAATCCAAAAACAAGCAGGGAAACACGACAAGTGAGGCTGACAACAGGTGCAACACACTGCTACACAAGGTGACCCAACAAAAACAAGACAGAAACACCAGGTATATATACACAGGGACTAACGAGCAGGGCGGGAGCAACACAGGTGAAAGACATGAGGCTAACAAGGCACAGGCCGGGAGAGAGGGAGCAGGGGAAAACAGACAGACATGCAGAGGGATCACTGGGGTAACAGACATGACAAGGGTTACCGAACACTAGACGACAGATAAGACAGACCCCCAAAACCCAACAGACCAAAATAAAGCTAACTAAACACAAGAGTGCAAAACACAGCATGGCAGACAGGCAGAGTGTGACAATTACTTTTTAATTCTATTACTGTACTATGCGCTATTAGACAGAAATTCCTACACTACATATCTATCTACTGATGCTGTGGCAAAATTTAAGGAAGTGATTCCATAGGCATTTAATTCAATAAAATGTCTCAGTACTCTTCAGTCCCTCCCAAACTGCTCATTGTGTTCACTGCGAATGACACTTGACTATTGCCCCTCTAAAAAATAATGCAATAAAACAAACGAGATAGCTCTATGGTATAACACCCACTGCAAATCAAAGCAAATGTCACATAAATTTGAAAGGAAATGGCATTCCAGCAATCTGGAAGAATCTTGTTTAATCTGGCAAGATAGTCATAAAACAAATAGAAAGGCCCTTCGAATTGCCAGTGCAGCCTATTACTCATCATTTTAGAGGAAAATGAAAACAACAATTTCTTTTCAGCACTGTAGACAGTAATTCTTGAACGGGTCATCTATTTTACACAGAAACAGGCTTCTCATTTCAAGCCAACTTTGGATTTTTTGGGCTGGTGATAGCTAATTGTATCAGCTAGAGTGAACTAATGCCACCACAAGCAGGACAAACAGAATATTTACTTTGATATTTTGATTGCACCTTGTCTTTCAAGCTGTGGATATTCCTGTCCTGAACAGGTTTATTTCTAATGAAACCTCACATTAAGCACATAATAATATGCAGGAAGTAGCTAATGACCTGCAACTTGAATTTGGAAGCAAAACTTGGTCACAACTAGTAAGCTAGTTTGCTGGGCATGCTAACGTTTGCAGTTTAAGGTGGCAAATAAATAAACAGTTTAATCGATTTCCTACACTGCTTATGACTTTTCGGTTTTGTAAAGGCAATAAAAAGAGATTATCTTCAGCACGTTTTTACTTATTTTATAGGTCTTTCCGAAAGCTAATGACAGATTGTCTGCAGTCGCATCCACACACAGTATTTTTTTTATAATTTGAGTGAACTTGTGCTTAAGTATAACCATTATTTATTATTTTTACTTTTGACTACTATAGGTACACAAAGATGGTAAAATAATTCCTCTAGTCAACAGCACAAAAAGTTCATCGGACTGCAGATGTTTTTCTCACGTGTTCTTTTGAGGTGATCTGTAATGAGAAGATTTACTGACCTTGCCCAAATTAAAATGAGCATTCCAACTGGGATTGTCTGATTCGATTACTTCAGTCGTGTGTTGGAAGGAACCATACTTCATCTTAGCATAACTGATTAAGAGAAAATGTTATATGTTAATGTTGTTTGATGTACCATCTTCAGATGTCAATCCCTGAACTCAAGCTACTCACCTGTCAGTAGGGCTAGTGGCAGGATAATCTCCATACAGATTCCAGGCTCGGACGATGGTCACCTCCAGTGTTCCTCTCCAGATGTCTTTAGGACAGCAGTTGGAAGCCAGGTATGAAGTGCTGCCACAAGAAGGTTCACTGGGTGACTTACTCACAGCATTGTCTTCTAAGTAATGCTCGATGGCAGCTTTCATCCCTGCCTTCTGTGTCTTATTTGGAATCAGCTCATATATTGGCCTAAGGTGGTATGAAACAATATTTGGGTGGTCCTTAAGGGAGTTTAGCCAATTCCTGTAGCCATAGTCATTATCTGTGAGTGAAAACTCCCCTGACCAACCATTGCCTCCTACCACCTCTGTGTAATGTTGGTGAAGACCAGAGCTGTATGAGGCGATGCTGTCCTTGTTCTGTAGGACGTTGTTGCAATGCCATTGGCTACCAGATGTCGACATCCCCAGGCCTACAGAAACACCCTGTGATAAGCAGGAGTGGACCTGGAGGACAGGAGAGGAAATAAGATGCCTTTAATAGTCAGTGATTAATGGGCAGCATTTAAGTAGTGCCTTCATGCTAAGGGCAGTAAATGGTACATTACGATGCACACCAAATGAGGGAATATCTTTTGAAAGTAATATGATCTGTAACAGAAATATCACCTCTTTCTAGGCAAAAATTACCCAAAGTAGAAATAAATTCTAAATAAGACAAGGCAAGTGACATTTCGTTTAGATTTTAAATACAGCACATCAGTACTGATAAGTAAGAATGCTTTCAGAAATAGACATGTTAACAGATCATATTTGTCAGTTAATACAATGCAAAGTGAATGAACAGAAGAATCTAAATCAAATCAATATTTGGTGTGACCACCCTTCAAGACAGCATCAATTCTTCCAGGTACACGTTTTTGAAAGAACTCGGTTGGGCCAAATGTAATCCTAGACAAACTCGATGATGTCGATTTAAGGGCTCAATCGGGACCATCCCATCACTTACAGGACTCCTTGTTCTTCTTCACAATGAAGATAGTTCTTAATGAACTTGCTTTACTGTTGCCTTCAGACAATTATTCTTGTACCATTCTCCAGCTCTTCAGTGAACAAACTGCCTTCTGGTACAGCCAAAAATTTGACTCATCAGTCCAGAGCACCTGCTGCCATTTTTCTGATTTCCTGTATTTCCATGCATAGTTCAGTTGCTTGGCCTTGTTTCCATGTCGGAGGTATGGCTTTTTGGCCTATAGTCTTCCATGAATGCCACTTCTGGCCAGACCGCTCACGTCAGTAGATGGGTGTACCAGGGTCACCCATACCAACGTGTAGCCTGCTTCTGCTGAATGACCGATTCAGAACAGGTTTGGGCTTGGGAGACCTACTGGGAAAACTAAGTTGTCTACTGTGTCCTGACTCATTGTGGTCATTAATGATCCCATGGCACTTGTCGCAAAGAGTAAGGGGTTCGCCGGTATCCTGGCAAAATTCCCAACCTGGCGTTCTCCATCTGGCATCTAATGTTCTCCAGAGTAAATGGCTCAATG